TGTCGGGAACAGCCGTTGCGATCGGGATACGTAGATATACTTGTGCTAAATGTGCATATGTGCATTTGTGTATGCGTACGTCCCGTTGTAAATCATTGACAAAGCTAAGTAGATAGATAAGCGCGATTGAACGTGGATACAGGTTCATATGACATTTTCGCACCGACCTTCCCTGCAACTTTCAGGAGTTGCAATCTTTCGTTACGGATACACCCCGCAGAAAAGCTACATCTCTATATTTATCGGATTGATATTTATGGGTTTCTACGTGTCCACTATTAACCTTTATTAATAGGCACAGTATCTTGCTGTCACAGTAAACGTTTGAATTATTGCCCCTTCCCCGTAATGTTCAATCTCTTTCAAAACGACGCCTACGGAAAATTGTTAATGTAGATTAACTTTTACGCTTACGCTTACGTAAAGTAAAAAAAAAAATCAATAACCGTATTTACGTATTTATATTAATTTTTTAATTATGGCGAAACATTAACAAAAAAATTATTTTTATTTATTATAATTTTTATCTGACGTAATGCATTACATAATAAAATATAGTTAATAAAATTGTATTAAAAAAGAGACGCATTTTATATCTTGAATCTTAATAAGACATGAGAGCAATTATATTTCAAGATAAAGATCTTATTGGAACGGTTTGAATTGAGTTGGCAATTAATCACGCAATCGAATATAACATTTCATGTTTCTTCGGTTCACGAGTCGTATTTTTAATCAAACGCAATCCAAGTATCTCCAGCAAGCGGCACGGAGGTTTCTTCGCCGAAGCGATGCATCTCAGAATTTTGTTCTGCGAGAGCAGTTCGTCTCGTTGCGAAACGCCCGCGCGGCAGGCATGTCAGAGAGTAGACAAGACGGCGAATCCGCGACTGTATCGAAATTGCGGCGAAACGGGTTTTCAATTACGCTCTCCTCGACGCGCGCACGCACGCACGCACGCACGCACGCACGCACGCACGCACGCGCGCGCGACGTATATAATATCGTGGCGGTTTGCAAGTCGCGAGTGGATACCGCGGTACGATCGAGCATATCATTACGCGACCAGCGATCGATTAGCATAAATCAACGCGATATTAGCGTCTATGGAAATCCTTATGCTATCGTAATCCGACATGCGGGGCACGCGAGGGGTCGGCCTCGCTCGGCACGTCCGCCTCTCGTTTCGCTTTCGGACAGCGACACGTCCGCTTTTCGCATCGTCGACGAGGACAGGACGAGCCAAGATCTCGAATCGCGACAGCTAATGCTCGCGCGATCGCGGACAACGTCGCGTTCGCGGGAAGAGGGGGGGGAGGGTGAGGACGAGAGGTGCGGGGTCTCTTTACATCTCGCCTTTGCATTGTTTCTCGGCGTAGTTTCGCGACGTTCCAAAACGACAGCGGCGAGCGCATACAAATTGCGCGAAAGGGACTTCAATCCCTTGTTTCTCCCGTACCTTCGCGTGGGCGTATCCCAACGATTCTCCGGATGTCGAAACGCGCGCATTTCACGGTCGCGTCCGTCACCGTATTCCGGGAACCTCGAGTTAAATCCGAGAGAGAAACGGCGAGAAGGGAAAGAGGAGGAGAGATATATATCGCGCCGATTGTGTGGCCCTTGAGATTCGGCGTTAATGGGGAACGTGCGCGCGAACGCGGCAACGAGGGACTGCGAGGAGGAGGCGGGAGGAATCACGTCGGGCTCCTCGCCTTAAGCGGAATATCACGAAATCGATCTTCCGTCTCTCAAGGAAACGTTCTCTCGCCTAATAACGCCGTTGTTCCCCACCTTGCACACGAGTTCCGCGTCCCAAGGTAGGATGGAGACGAGGTCTATCACCTCGCAGGACACGCCGAGCTTCTCCCGCGCTAGGTCGGCCACCTCCAGCAGAACGTGCACCTGAGTGCCCCAGCCCACGAGTGTCACGGCGTCACCTACGCGAACAAAAAAAAAAAGAAGAAAAACATGCACCAATACACATTCATTATATTCATAAGCGTAATCGCGTCTGCGCGGATAATAAAAACCGCGCGTTTCTTGCATCGCGTATCCTGTTTCAAGACCGGTCATATCGGCAAGATCGCCGCTCCGCTCCGGCAATTGGATAATGGAAGGAACGCGATCGCATTTGTAAATTATATCCACGGAGAAGACTCTCCACGTCCTCTTGTGTGTATGCGAGTATGCGAATAGTTACTTTCTACGACTTCAAATAACGCCTCCTCTGACGCGTTATTCTCGTTCGACCGCGCGCGTCTCGCCGTGAATAATGTAAAGAGCGGAGAACCTGCCGTATGTTCAAAACATTTCTCTGAAGGATGATTTTACAACCGCAAATATCTATTCAGAGTGTGTAATCATTTCCGCGTAGTCTGAGAGATCTGAGCTTCTAACGATACTAATTATAAATACGTCGCGACAGAAACTCGTAAATGGAAACTTCGCTCTTGAATCAACGTTATTAACGGCAGATTGATAAAATATTATTAATGTCAATTATCACTATTAGAGATCTCGAAGAAAATATTGGTTATTAAGAAAAAGAAGAGCGAGTCATTTATATAAAACGATAAATAATTTAAATAAATAATAACTATATGTACAAACTTCTTGATCAGTGATTTAGTGAGATCTTGCTTAATTTTATATATATATATATATATTCCATTTCTTTTTTTATTATTGCATTATTCTTCTATCAATTCTGTATTGTCTTTTTAATATTTATTATTTCTTGCGATAAATATTACCTCAAAATTCAACGATCAAATTTATGCCCTTCTTGCGAAGTAGGAAACTTCCGGTTTGAATTATCTTGAGATATTTTCATAATTTTATTTTTTAATATTTTAATAATTTCCTTGTAGATTTCTAAGAAATGCTAAGAAATATCAGTAATATTAAATTAATTATCAATTTAATTATATAAATTTGTTTTATTTTCAGCTTTGACGCTGCGTTTCAAGACTTAATAATCGGCGCGCAGTTAAAACAAGAAAAATATATATAAAATTTATAAAAAATTAATTAAATGTAATGCAAAATCTTATTTTTCTACATTGTGCAATGTACAGAAAAGTATGATAAGGCAGAAGCGTTTTATGTATACATACTAGATTTATTCAAAAATATCAAACGCTTGAGTATCGACGCCTTTCAGAACTCACCACTTCTCACAATCTCAGCCTTGCCGATTTCGATCTTGTAATGTGCCACGGGCACCTCGTCGATCGCTGTGCGATATAGAATTTTAGGCTCGAATATAATGCAAGGATCTGGCTCGTCGATGCAACTCAATAGGAGACCCTTCGCGTGCATCGCTCCGCGTGGCACGACGATCTGAAAGGAAGAAGAAAGATGAGCTTCTCCGGGAAGCTGGTGATTGTATCCTCGCAATTCTCTCGATAATTGGCGAGTCCTCGCCGTCGTCTCAAAACAGGGATAAAATTGATCCGATCCGAATAACGTCGGCGGCGATATTACGTTGCCGTCGTCGCTCCGCTCGTAATCGCGATGTACGATAGCGATGCATTAGTGTGCGGGGAAAACTTTCTTCATGCATACGTAGAGCGCACACGTCGTACAATATTCATGGAATTTGTTGAGGAAAGTTGTAGGCTCTGCTGCTGACGCGGGATATAGCGAAGGCACAAGGAACGTCCATGATGATGGAAATTCGGTGGTGAGGCGCTCGGTTGTCGCGCGATCGTAGAGATGATCGTCGGAAAACAAAATTACACATTCCAATTGTTTAATTTTTTCACATTCCATAGTTTCAGCTATCTCGTATGTACAAATGTCGATGCGCGATCTTTTACAATTTTTTCAAAAATCATTTATATTTCAGCAAAGAACTCGTTTTTCTTTCCATTCGACTATTAGCCGAAGAGATAACTTAGGATTAAGGCATGACAAAAAAAAAAAGCGAGCATGTGTTCAACACAAATAAGATAAAAAATAGCGTCATTTTTACTAGCCTTCAAGCCAGGAGTGTGCGCGAAGTAAGCTTCCGGGCTCTGGGAATGATAAAGGCCGCCGTGACCGACCGCTCCGCAAGGCGCGCGAATTGTTAGTTTACCACAGTCAAACATATTGCCGCTTCGATACCTCATTTTAGCTGCTTCGTTTACCAACTGTGGATAAAACAAACACAAAATCTCGTTAATAATTTGATGAGATAATTAATCCTTACACGCCTTATTCAATAATTCGCGCGACGATCAAATTGCGTATCCCGTGTTACTTCACACAAGATTCGCTCGCGAAAAATCTTTTCGCAAACACTATAGACACAAAAAGTTTTCGCCCTCTGCATTTTTTAAGCGAATAGATTTCTTCGCGTTATACATTTCTTTGTGCTTAAGGATACTTCTTTATTCTTCGAGCGTTAAATCTTCTGAAAGCTTTAGACTTCTTTTTTTCTTTTTATACTCTTGATACATCATGAAATAAAAATTATCACTCTATTCTTTATCGAATTCTTTATACGTATCGAATGAATAATGTGCGACACCTGGTCGAAAGCGGGAAATATGTAGTCCGCGAATTGTATTTCGCCAATCGCCGATATCCCCGCGTTGGCTAATCCAATTCCAAAACCGGCAATTCCTTGCTCACAAAGAGGTGTATTAAAGACACGATCAGCACCGAAACGTTTCTTCAAATCCATCGTGCAACGGAAGACACCTCCAAACGCCACATCCTCGCCAAACACCACTAAAATTAAAAAAAAAATTATTAGTAAAACATTATTTTTTCTGAAAAAATATATAAATAATTTCACCCTAATGATTTCAAGATTTAAAAATTTTAGATCATTCTAGACGAATAAAATTTCATCAATTTTTTAAAATGATTTAAAAAAATTATCTGTAGAGTTTAGTACATATCGGAAGTATTAAAAAAGTTAAAAATGTTTAATAAATATATCTAATAAATATACTAGAGAAAACGTTCCAACAATATCTCTTTTACATACATATTTCAATTAAAGAAATATAAATATAACGATAATCCTTACCTGAACGTGGATCGTTTTCCAATGCGACAGTAAGCCCGTGATTTATGGCTTGATACATATTCATCTTTTGTGTCTCACCTGAAAACATGACTTTTTTTACGTAATCACATGAATAATACATTAGGCATAAAATTTTGAAATATTATTGCAACAATTTCTTGAGGACTGGAGGCTTTAATTTTTAAAAGAGGTTATAAATTTCATATAATAAAAATTTTGAATTATTTTTATTATGACAATCTATAACTTTAATAATAATTTTATTTCTAAAGAATATAATAATTTATTGTTTACACATTGCATCGGTTTTTAATTTATTCTTAACATGGTTTACCTCATCTATATTGATCTACATATGAAACAGAAACGTTCAATAAAGATATAAATATTTTAAGTATTTAAATTTTAACGTTCAAATATCTTTAGGATTTAAATTTTTGTTCCGTTTACTCATTCTCTTATAGAAAGACACTAACTGTAATCAATTATTAAAGAGAAAGAGATAAAGCAAAAAGCACTCCGTTTTCGATAAACTAAATTAATTTCTCTATTTTAACTCATTGTAAATAATACTTTGCTCTGTTACATTACGTATCCTTTCCATTATATCAATTTGAATTTTTATATGTCAAAGTTATCGCGCATATTTCTATATATAAGTCCGTATACGTCAATTTCAGTCAATTGACTAACAAATAAAAAGCAACATGGCAATCTATATATTGAGTCTCGCATCAATTTGCATTCATATAGCTGTATTATACACGCTGCGGATTTTCAATACGAATTGTCGTTATACGCACGATTGTCAACTTCAGATTAATTTTTTGTCGAAAGTCGTTTTTCAAAGAGAAAAAAATATTAGGCTCTCATAATTCGTTTCATTTATCATATTTAATATCTCATTGAAAAAAATGAGTATCGCCGTATAAAAATAACAAAAGTCAAGAAAAAGATTTCTTTAATCGGAAAAAAATAACAAAATATCACATTTACTAGGTTTATTCTTTTTCGCTACTAAAACTTTTGCCAAATTTTAAACATTTATTTCATTTTAAGTTAACAACGGGTATATTAGTATATTTAAGTAACGGGTATTGTAATGCTAGTTGTAAAACAAACTTACTATTCTTACTATTTCGTTCTAAAAAAATTTAAAGTAATTAGATAGAAAATTATGTGTAGAATGTGAGCGATATGTTCGAAAAGTTGCCAGTCACAAATTGAAGACCTAATAAACATCAATGACATGCAATATTATAATCTCTCACTAAACGATATAAATATAATAATAATAATAAATATAATAT